TTTGTGGGACAAGTTGGTTCTTACATCTGCACGTATAGTTTGCTCCTGACTCCAACTTTACATTATCTCCTCACTCCAACTTTACACCTGCACATATCGGGAATACTTCCATACAAGTATGCCGTTATTCATGGGAAGATGTTCCCTAGAATGTGCAGTCGAGTGCTTTGTGAATTGTGAGGAGCAAATCCCGGAATAGGTTCCATATCCCATTTCATTTGGTCGGAGTGGGTTTAGGTTGAGCTAAATCTTTACTGAACCTAGCCCCATTAACATCCCTAAACACCGTTTGTGGTGGGTGGTGAAGCTTTCTAATTCTGACTTTCTGAGCACACCGCCCTCCCAAATCCCAACCCCAAACACCGCCGGTGGTGGATGGTGAAGCTTTGTAATGCTGAGCAGACAGACCACCACCATCATCGAAAAGAAAAAAAAAAAAAAGTTTTAAAGAGGTTAAAAAATCACATGGTTGTCTAATCTGGGCCATCAGCATCAAACACAAAGATGGTAATCAAGCATTTTGGATATATCATCAAGCACAATATAGGAATCAAGCTTTTGGCTAGAAACCATCAAAAGTGGAACTTGCACGAGAGAGAGAGAGAAATCGTCTCTAGAGTCTACAGCATAAGCTCTGCACCAACTATACGAAAAAAAAAAAATCTATGCTGGTATTGATTCTAGCATCACATAATACTTTATCGGGGCCACTAATAAAATGTCATTTCTTCATTGAAGAACCTGTGGATCTTGTGCTCTTAATCCCTCTACTTTCTTTTACCTTCCCCAGTCCCCATGACTGTGCAGAGATAATGTTGCGAAGTGTGATCTGGGTCTGTCTGCCTGAGCATTGAAACATCATTTGATCATATTCAACCCTACGGCTTCCAACAATCAAACATTCTTTTCCGCCTATTCATGGTGGGTTGTTGCCATGGGTTTTGGTCCAAAATCTTAACTAGTCCTCCTTGTTTGTTTTAGATAGAGCTATTCAATTTGGACTACCATTACTACTAATGTTGTATTTGGTTTGAAAGGAAAAGGTAGGGAAATGAAGGGACACCTCTACAAATCTTGTATAGGTTTTCCCATTTTTTCCTTCTTTTTTTTTATCTTTTACTTCAAACCAAATACAACTTAAATGAAAACCCTACATCTGGGCAAGTTGGCATTTCCACTAATATACACAATTTCTTCCCTGTTTAGGACATTATTTTAAAAGTCTTAAGCCTTGAGGTGTGAGACATACGTCTTGAAGCAAGGCACACAGATTTTGATGTGAGGCTTAAGCCTTTGTTGGAATGAAGCGTAAGCCTCAAGAGGCTTAAGGCGTGAGACATAATTGAGACATAAAAAGGCATTATCCTCAAGTATTAATGATTACTTTGTGATTTAATGCAAAAGTATATATATTTTTATAATTCAAAACATATAGAAAAAACACTTCAATAATTATAGGCCAAATAAAAATGTATAAAAAAAACCCTATAAAGCAAATCAAATTCTATTAGTTTTTCTGTGGTTTAAGAGAGTTCAATGCAAAAATGACTAATCAAGTTTTTAGTTTCTCTTGGATAAATCAAGTGAGATTTTTCTTATTATTCTTATTTTTCTCATTTCTTTTACTAATGGATCTTTTAATAATAATAATAATAATAATAATAATAATAATAATAATAATAATAATAATAATAATAATAATATATTATTATTATTATCAACTAAGTTGTTTCTTTTCTTCTAAATGGGTTTTTTACATGAAATCTAAAATGTTTACAATTGTTACATGATTAGTTATTATTTTATTTAATGCTTAAATGCCAAAACTTATTGTTTACAAACTAATTAATTTTTTCCTTAAACTATGGGGCTTATGCCTTGAGGTCACTCCTCACCTTTTTGGGCCATTACTCCTCAACTACGCCTTTAACCTTTTAAAACCTTGGTTTAAGATTGAGAGGGCTGGTGGTGGTTTTTGGCTTTGAAAGGTTGTTTGATGGAAAACAACTTCAGCACAAGGTTGTTTGAAGCTTCTTTTGAGCTTTTCTACCTACAATACATTCAAGTGCAAATCCGTACTTGTATTTTGTCATTCATCGTGATCCTGATGTATAGCTATTGTGTCTTGTGGGTATAGTGTGCAGCATTCTTGTGGGTAATAGATTCAAAGTTGCTTCTTTTAATTGCTTCTACAAAGTAGTTTGGTGTTTGTTTTGGAGTGCTGAGTGCAATAACAGCTGGCTTTCTAACATGGATTCCACAAAGACAACCTAGAGGCCATATTTGATAAAAAAAACCTAGACAACTCAGAATTGGCTCTCATTCCATCAATTGAAGGGCTGTATGCTTCACTTTCTTTGAAAGTTTAGAGTTCTTCAAAGCAGTTGAACTAGTTTAGCTGAATCTTCAGCTCAGCTTAGAAGAACTTTGGTATTGTGTGCATCTTTATTGGAAAACACAATTCAACAAACTTAGTAGGTGTTTGGCATTGGTGCTGGGAACATTGCACCGTTACCTCATAAAAATGGTGCTGGGCTTGTGGAGTTGTAAGCATCGTTTTTTGAGAAAATGGTGTTTGTTTTTTGTTTGGAACCAATGCAGCCACATAGGCGTTTTTTGTAAAAACAGCACTGGTTTTGTTTGGTACCAGTACTATTAGTAACGTTTTCAACAATGATCTATATTATCCAACGTCCAAAAATGATGCCACATTGATGCCACATCATTGCACCACTGGCAATAATGCACCGTTTTCTAAAAAAAAAACATTGAATTTGGTGTTGCTCCAAACCACACTTTCCCAATTTTTAAGGCGTAGTTTGGAGCAACATTTTTTCTGGAAAAATAGTATCAAATAAGAGGATATTGTTTAAAGCACCATTTTCTCTGTTGTAACGCTTAAATGATGCCATTTTTTCAAAAAACGGCATTGATGCCAAACACCCACTTTATTTATTTTATTTTTTTATTCGTGGGGCTAAATACAGGCGCCAATTAGTTAATCGAACGATAGGCCCTTTTTATAAACCGAATTGGTCTTTCGGTTTTTAGGAACTCAATGGCGGTCAACATCTAGCCAGAATGTTAGGTGGATCCATATTCAACACATCCAAAGCAGCATGATACAGTGGCCAATTGTTAGCAAACTGGAAGTGAGAAAAAAAAAATCCCAGTTTAGACTATTTTTTGCTTTAAAAAATGGCAAATAGTAAAAAGAAAAAGAAGAATGATTTGGGCACATATTATTTTTTCAGGGTCATATGTTAAGCCCTCTACAATTTGGTTTTATTAACTGAAATAGAAAGAACCCTCTAACGTTCGTTAGCTATTTTAGACTAGGCTTTGGAGAGTCTCCATGGGTCTAAACACTAGAACCCTTTTAATATATTTATCTTTGAAATATTGAACTAAAATCTAAAAAAAAATACCACAGTTTGAAAACTAGCAATATGTAATTTTTGTGTATCGTATCGATGTTTTGAACCATAGGATTAGAGATATATCCCCTAATCACTAATAAAAAAAAAGTATAGTTCCATGGTCATCAGGATTCTCAGCAAGCAAAATATTCTGCTCACATCTCAAACTTTGATTTATGTGTTTTTCTTTTTGCCATTACTCCACATATTACAGTGGAGTAGACTTGCTCATGGGCCGGGCCGGGTTGAATTTAGGCCGGGCTTTTACTTTTTATTAACAAATTTTTTCAAGTTCAAGCTCGAGCCCGATCCTCATAAAAAACCCGAAGCTCAACCTAACAAAATGATATGTAAATCAAATAGAAAATTAAAAGAAATGGTGCAAGAGATTAAACATGAAAATTAAGTAAGAAATGGGGGAGAACTATTAACTTGAAAAAGTAGCACTATGGAATGGATATAACTAAACGAAATTGAGAAAATTAAACAAGGTATCATGCAAGAGATGATAAGTTCTAGACTACACGGGGATGAAGTTGAAATTAAAACGAAGTAATGAAGTAATGAATCTCTATTACTGATAACTAATAGTACAAAAACTAACAGAACTAAAACTTGATTCGAATATGTTCGGACAAACTAATGAATCTCTATTACAAATTAAGAGAACAAAACTAATAGAACTAAAACTTGATTCAAATCTGTTCGGACTTCCTTATATATCAGAACAGAGAGAGAGAGAGAGGACCTAGTTCGTTGGTGGCGTTGGTGCTTGAATTTGCCAGAAAAGGTACAGTAAAAAAAAGGATTGCCGCCTGCCACTGCTAGCTTATGCTCGACACCGACTTGCACTGAAACTCTGAGAGTGAGAACTGAAGTTAGATCAATGGAAAGAGGGGAACTGGGAAAGAATTAATCGGATTAGGGATTTAGGGTTTAGAAATTATAAAAAATCGGGCTATGCCGGGCTTTTTTGATAAATCCCAAGCCCAGCCCAAAAAGTAATCGAGCTAGACTTTTAAGCTCGAGGTCAAATATGAGCTAAAAATCATGTTCAAGCCCATCCAGGGGCTGGGCCATTGAACTACCCAACCCATAAACATGTCTATAGTGGAATCAAGGGTGGGTCAGAGATGGATGCAAATAAAGCCCACACTCTCCATCCACACCATGAAGAGCCTTGTTTTGGTTTTTCTACATGTGTAGCATTGAAATTGAACCAAGTAATTTTCAACAAATTTGGATTCAGTCCTCAAGGAACGTCGTGTTCAAGGCCTTTTACATCCATGCATTTGGGAGCATCTTTATAGTTCTATATTTATTCTGGTGGAGAGATATTCTCAGTGTGTGATTGCAAGGGACACTGCGATCAGTGTGAGCAGAGTCTTGCAGAGCGCCGCGTTCTGTGCACCCATGGATGCATTGGACGAGTGCACCTGCCAATCACAAACGCCCACGTCGCCGTGTTTAAAATTTATTAACTTTAACAGACGTTTAGCTGTTAGTTACAAAATCTGGTTGAATCGGATACAAAAAGACAAAAAAGTTAAAATACACCCTCCCATACTTTTTTTCCGCCAACCCCTAGCCCAGAAGCATCCTCATGTGACCGGCGATCTCACTGAACGCAGAAGCCACCGGCAGCGGATGTGGGTGGGTCTGAGATCTCATCCTTTTTATCCTTTTACCTTTCATAACGCTGGGACCATGAAGCCAAATCCCACCCGTGCGGTTCACTGGCAACGCCTCTCCAGTTCCACTGGTGTCGTAAACACATAAGCCAAGTTCCAGTTACAGTTCCACAGTAGGGAAGTGAAGCGCTGAACCAGCCCCAGTCCAGTTCCAGTTCTACAACAACGCCTCTCCAGTTCCACCGGGTGCACTGCAAATTGCAAACTGAAGCAGCTTCATCGCTTCCTCTCAAATTTTTGTTTACACATAGACAGCATTTGCCCCTCGATCATGTCTCTGTTTCTCTCTATTTTGTAGCCATTCTCCCCTAAATCCCATCCAAATCCGCTCTAAATCAAAACTGTTGGATTTTTATCTCATAAGAGATTAAATTTAATGGATTTGATTGATCAATTATATGAGAAATTGTATTTGCACACTTATTTGGGAAATTAATTGTATTTTAAGAAGAATTGATTTGCATTCCTTAGAACTAATAGAGAAGAGTATAGAGGTTTGATACCAAACGGGTGGTGCACTTTTCTCGCACCCGTTCAAGATGTCTTCTCTCATTTAGATCAGACTTCAAAAACATACATTTTTAAAATCCACCTTCTCTCTTTCTCAGCTTCTCAAAAATTACAATCACCCCATTTCCCAGCAAAAGCTTCATCGTCAATTTGTCCGCCTGTCTCCTCTCTCTTTTATGCAATCTCCATTCACAACAGCCACAGCTCTCTCTCTCTCTTGAAGCCAAGATCTGAAGATCCTCTGTTCACGTTGTCTTTGGTTCCCTCCATGGCCTTAACCGTCGTGGTGCTCCTCACCTCTCTCTTCTTCATGGGTTTCTTCTCTATCTACAATGGCCGCTTCGCCGAAGAGAATGCCCTCGATTTCTCACGCAGCAGAGGCCAGTAGCACAGATCGGGGTCAGCCTCGTCGGTGTCCTGCCCCGTGGTCTCGACCCAAATACCGTTAAGCCTTTGCCGCTGTTCACCTACGACTGTGTGTCGAGTGTCTGAGTGAATTCAACGAGGCGGAGGCCGTGAAGGCGATTCCTTACTGTGGGCACGTGCATTTGGTTGTCGGCTCATGGGTTGTGTCCCCTCTGCCGCTTCACGCAGCTGTTCCCCAAAAACAGTGACGTCTCCGTGGATATAGCGGAGGAGAAAGAGCAGGCGGGCGAATGATAGAAGGATAACCAGTGTACTTGCTGCGGTCGTCAACAAGAGGAGAGATATCAACGATGGAGAGTAGAGGTACGTCTGTAGAAAGGGAAGAGGTTGTACCGGTACGATTGGGCATGAAAATGACGAATACGTACTGTTGGAGCTCAGGGGAGAGGATATCGCTACCGAGTTAAAAATGGGAAGAGTAAAAAATGGTCGGTTCATCCAGCCGAACTATTAATAACGGAGAATATTTCCGTTAATTGATGGTTAACACGGATGAGATGATGTGTTCGCATCTCATTCGAGGGTGCATTTGTCCAATGCACCCATGGGTGCACAGAACGCGACCTCGTCTTCCGGTGCAATTTTATTTATATTAATACAAATGTATGGGAGTACAAATGAAAATTCTTGTTTAATTTTGTTTTTGGGTTTTACTTTATTCTGTTTTAAATCTTGATTTATTTCATTTAAACTGCAATCAAACAAAATAAACTAAAATTTAAAACAAAAATAGATCAGAATTTACACTCAAATCATTTACACTATTATAATTTTACATCAGTGCAAATTTATTTGCATTGCAACCAAACACAGCCTAAGGCTCAGTTTGGAAGGAGTATAAATGCAAATATGTAAAGTGTAAATATATACAAAATAATATAAATTATAAAGTTTTACACTCTACATATTTGCATTTGTACTCCTTCCAAATTCAACCTAAAGTATTTTACTTTTAAGGTTTTGTATTAGTGCTAATAGAACTATTTTTTTCAGTTAAAAGGTATACAACAAGGTTTTTAAAACCGACTCGAAGAATGAACTGGTCAGGGGTTCGGTTCCCAGGTCGAATTGTCCAACCGTTATAAAAAAAATAAAAAATAAATAAATAATGGTCAAAACCATTCGAACAATTAACTGCCCGGGTCAGCGGTTTGTTGACCAAAATCAACGGTTTTTGGGAAAAATCCGGTTTTGGGGAAAATGTGACTGGTTCCCAGTTTTTCCGGTTTGACCGTCCGGTCCAGTTCGATTTTGAAAACCATGGTAAATAGTAAAAACAGACTTTGGAATCATCGCCAAATCAGTCATCATCTTATCACATAAGTAAACATAATAGTATTTTACAAGGTTTTTAAAATTGTACCAGACAGGGAACCCTTCTGGGACCAGTTCCTAGGTCAAATGGTTCAATCATCCAGTTCAAACGAATGATCCATTCTAACTTAAAAAAATAAAAAAAAATGACCAAAACCGTTGTTTAGGTCAATGGTTTGATCGCTTGGGTCAGTGGGTCATTGACCAAATCTATGGTTTTTGGTCAACAAACAGTTTTAGGGTGAAACAAAACCGATTATCTAACCAGTTTCCAAGTTTTTTGGTTCAACCATCTAATTCGGTCTAGTTTTGAAAACCATGGTATTTTATATCCAACCATTTCCCAATTATGTAAATATTTTTTTGGGTAAAGAAAAGGAAAACATTTATCAATTATGTAAAGCAAAACCTATATCGTTATATAGCAAGACTGATGAGCCATTTGGCAAGTCTTTTTGGGAAGATCTTCTGGTAGCTCTGACGGTCAAAAGACACATTGAGTTTTTGCATTAAGATCTGAGCAGCCTAAAGCCAATTTGGTTAAGGCGTGTTTTTCCGCACAAAGACGAATAGAAAACACACACACACAAAAGCTCCATTTGGAGCTTCTCGAGAATTGCTCGTTTTGGGCTTCTTGTGTCTTTTTGGCGCGGCAGGTTTTGGTGGCTAGATCTACCACAAGCCAAATGGAAAAGACCGAATCGTAGTCTATCAGGTTTGTAAATAGCCAACAAACCACACAAAAAGACGCGTCAAACAAGGCCCGAATTAGCTTGGCTAATAGACAAAAGAGTAGGAGCATTATTTTGCTGCCAAGTCCTACTACCTCTTAAGGCTCAGTTTGGAAGGAGTATAAATACATATAAAATAATATAAAATATAAGGTTTTGCAATCTACATATTTGTATTTATTCTCTTTACAGATTGAGCCTAAGTAAAAGAAAATAATCCTAAATGGCTAAACCCTAAACTTTTAACTCCTGTATACTCTCACTCCATGTACCTTCATCCAAATATAACGTCATTAAAAAAGAGTCATTTATTAAAATATCCTCTATGAATTTATTAAAATCTTCCCTATAGTTTGTTTTTATAAAAAAACATCTTCTATAGTTTGCAATCAATTTACTTAACTGACCTTCTATTACATGAAAGTGGAAAATGAAAGTTTTGACCCTAACATTCATTCAAACAAATTATAAATTTAATCAAAATTAAATAAAAAATAAAAATGTCATTTTATCATGGCCCATGCCTTTGAACATTTTCCACTCCATTTATGTGATCATGTTGCTATTTTAAAATCACAAACCAAATTGTTCTTAATGAAAGATCGCTTAAGTAAATAAGTTGCAAACTATAAGTGGTGTTCTAGTAAAATAAAAAATTAGGGTTATTTACTAGAACACTCCTATAGTTTCATAGATTTACTTAAGCATACCCTATAGTTTGCATTTTACTAAAACATCCCTTATAGTTTGCAACCTATTTACTTAATCGACCTTTTCATTTTTAGTTTATTTTGATTAAATTTATTTGAATGGATGTTAGTATTAAAATTGTTATTTTCCGCATTCATCTAATGGAAGGTTGATTGATAAGTACATTGATTGCAAAATATAAGGAGAGATTTAGTAAAACACAAACTGTAGGGTAGGTTTTTTAATAAATTCATAAAACTATAGAAATGGCCTAAAGAATAAATTACTCAAAACTACCCTATAATTAAATCCATCGAGGCGTCGATACAAAGATCCAAATTGGACGGTTATAGGAGGTGGGGCCCACGTCAAGCTGGACTCGTGGACTCATTTCAAAAAGTTGGTGGACACAGCTGAACCTAAAGTCCCTAACCCACATAAGATTAGAGCTGCGGAATTTGATCCCCATGGTTTGTGTCTCACAAATCACCGTTGAGACAGTCCACCAAAAGCAACTTTGTACATATAATGGGGAGACCATCTACAACTGGTTGGGTCCTCACCCAATCTAGTCCTCCGTTAGCCCAGACTCTTACGTAGCTTTTATCAAGAGACCCCAGAAGACATGTGCAATTTAATCATTCCAATTTAGACGTAACCGGAGAGTGGTGAGGCCCACGTCATCTGCAATGGCCCCACCCCATTATAGATCTTGCCAACTGCGAACCATGATATGCATAAGGCAGGTGTTTTTTGTTTAGAGATAGGTAGACTGCACTCCACTTCAGAAATCTGAAACTACAGCTCCCTTCTAATCTATTAGTAGTCCCCCTATAAAATTCATCCTGCCCAGCATTGATCCATGGTCAGGATTCATCCCACCTATAAGGTGGAACTAAGATTTTTAGGGGTGGACTGAACAGTAAAAACCACTTTTGTTTAAGAAAATAAAACCATTCACATTGTCTAACATCCTCTAGATTTCACTAGGGATGCAAATGGATCGGATCGATTTGAATCCAATTTGACACTGTTCATGTTGGATTTGATCTGACCCGAAGATCCAATCAGATCTGATAGGACTCAATTTAAATTTGAATCCTATCAGTAAGTCAAATCTTTGGATCTCATCAGATCAAACTTGTTTTCTTTAAAAATTAATAAATTATTAAAAGAAAAATAAAATATACTAATTTAAATAAAGTAAAAACAAAAAATATAAGTATTTTTAATTATTTTATCATATATGTTTTTTATAAAAAAATAAATAATATAACAAATTTATAAAAATATAATATAAAAAATATATTTATAAATAAATAAATAACATATATATATATATATATATATATATATATATATATATATATGTGCGTGTGTGTGTATTATATATATTTATATTTATAAGTATATAATATATATTGGATCAGATCTTATTGGATCAAATAGGGGTGATCTGAATTCAACCAAATAGGATCGGATCTCAGATCAGATGGGATCATGATCGATCCATTTTTACCTCTAGATCTCACCACTAACACCCCTCCATAAATGCATGGCTCCCTTGTTTCTAAACTTAATAAACCCCCTCATGCAAAAGCCCATTGGACATGAAGCATGGACAAGTCAGACGATGAAGAATAGTCAAATAGGCTCTAATACCATCTCAAGGAACTGTTTATACCTTCTGATGAAATTGAAATAAGTATAATGGCGATCATGAGGATTGAACACTAAACCATTTAGTCAAATAAATTATGATACCATTTCCAAGGAACCACTCGACTTTAGATGAGGTTCCTGAATAGGAGTACTCACGTTTCAAAACCATGGCCTATTTTCCAACCGAACCAGTACCATTGATTTTTGGTGAAAATCATGAACCAAATCCAATTAGTTAACCAGTTGATTAGTTCGCTTTTTGATCAGTTCAGTTCTTTAGAATTTCAGTTTTTTAACATTTATAATATATTATAAATAAAATATAAATAATATAATACTGGGAATATATAATATGTTATACTATAATAATAAATAATATATTATATTATAAATATATATATATATATAATATGGAAAAATGTATATATAAGTCAGTTCGATTAACTATGGTTTTTCGTATTGGTGTAAAACCAAACCAATACCTTTAGTTTTTCAAAAATACTAAACCGACCAATTCGATCAATCAGAATTTTCATTCAATTTTTCGGTTTTTTATGAACACTCCTATGATTTGTGAATAGGTTCTTATTCTGGAATATAAACAAATTATAGATCAGATTTAGATATACCTCTAAAGTGTTATCCTAATTCAATCCCATCTATTTGCAATCATATTCGAACCAAGTTTCGAAAACTTCAAAAAGACTGCAATATTGCATCTGATTTTTCTTTGTTTTGGTCAGAAAAATAGAAGTTTCTCTTCTCACTTAAATTGTGAGTTTTATATACAAGCTTCCAATTTTACCCATTTCTTTCCCCCTACTTTCCTTTCAAAGCTAGAACAAAAAATAGTATTATTTTTTATTAAATTCAATAAACATGCCCATGTGCCCAAATCAACATTCATACATCACTAACTGGTTAGGTAGACAAAGTCCCCATCAACATTCAAGCAACCACCACCAGTGGGTTTTCTGAAACGGGTGGAAGCGTCATCATCTCTACATAAACCTAACAATCACCAATTGAGAAGAGGAATGGCGACAGCAGAGAGCTCCGGTTCCCCACTTGACACTCTCCCAACTTTTCTTCATTGTTCTTTCATATTCTTTAGGAGGACCCACAATAAATCCATGGATCCCAATTGGAGGGTTTTAAGAGGTGGGGTGCATTGTGCACATGAAGTTGGCTTCATGAAACTATTTTCAAGATGTCCTCTTGTAACTAAATATTGTTCTTTATCATCTCAATTACATTGAAAATATCAAAATAAAGTTACGAATGCAAATCTAACAACATGCGGAATCTCCTAGAACCTGCAATGGGCTTTAATATCGTAGATTTGCGATGAGTTTAACAACCATTGCAAACTTACGATGAGCATAAAACATCCCTTCAGACCCATGGTAAACAATGGGCGTCGCTTGAGACTTGCGATAACATTGCCAGTCATATCTTTTCCTTTAACACGGGACCACTAGGAAACCCGTTAGGAGACGTAACCTACATGTGCCACATGAGAATCCTTAAGAAAAATGAAACTTTGCCTTTGAAGGATCTCGCTAGACACATGGTGAAATCCCAATAATATTTCATTAATAGATGGCATAAATATCTCATTTCCTAATAGAAAACGTCTCGTTTTATATCTTTCTCCTTATAACCTTAAGGTCTTCCCTATAAAAAGGAGAATAACTCTCCCCCACATCAGACAATAGCTTATAACTCTAACCCTAGATTTTCACAATAGCTAATAACTCTAACCCTAGATTTTTTTAGATGAACTCTCTCACTTTGTCTTTATTTCTTCTTTCTCTTATCTTCCTCCATCGTCCTCAACAATCGATATTCCTTCCAACCTTCTCTCTACACTACCAACCTTTGCGCCCTACCACCGTAAATACCTCTCACTATGCGCCTCGTATTAAACCTGTAGAGTTAGATTGCAATGGACACTATCCCACAAACAGCAAACTTCTACATATAACGAGGAGACAATCTATGATTTATATCCCTTGTCGTGTCTCCATCATGGATTATTGGGCCCCACTCCATTAGAGAACGTCTCTGCTTTGCATAAAAATAACATGGGCTAGTATCATTCAATTATTACTACTATCTTTTGGTCTTTCTTATGACACATGCAAGAGGATCTGCCCTATATAAGACTGGATCTATTAATTGCATTACATCCTCTAAATTAGGATATGATGTAAATGTGGGACCCACATCATCTGAACCGTGATAAACAAGAAAGGTGATTTGAGAGTGGGACCGAGATTTGGTTGCCTCCAATTGTTTGTTGTTTCTTTCATATGGTTCACTTGTTCATTTTTGTGTCAAACTCAAACGTCTAAGCCATGGCAAATCCCTTCTCACTTTCTCACACAATTTCCATTTGACTCATTGCTCCATATTGCAACTTCACTACTGCTGTAATAGCATAATCAGTAAAATATAGGGGGTGTTTGGCAAAATTTTTCATGTGGTTTTTGGGTTTTTCAAAGTTCAAAAGACAAAAAATTGGTATTTTTCTGTTTGGCAATGAAAGATAATATGCTAGAAAGACCTGCATCTCAAAAAGCTTACAGCCCAAAACCACCAAAAATCAGAAAACTTCAAATTAAACTGTCTTTTTGTACCTAAAATATTTCATTTAACAGCTTGATATTTACCAAACTATCTTGATTTTAAAAAACAAGACCCCAACAGTTTAATATATCTTTTAGCCATCTGGGCTGTGGAAAGATATTCTTAAAAGGCTTGGGGTGCGTTTGGTGCGTCTTTCCGCACAGTCTTTCGGCTGTTTATAAGCTTGGAAGACGGAAAATTGGTCTATTTCCATTTGGCACACGGAAGATCTAGCCGCCAAAAGATGGGACGCTGAAAAGACGCGCGAAGCCCATTTTGGGCTGATTTTAGGAAGCTCCAAATGAAGCTTCCCGCGTCTTTTGCGTTTTAATCTCGTGCAGAAAGATCCGAAACGATGCACGGAAAGACGTATGTCTACCAAACAGTCTTCGGACTGCCCAGATCTTATGTCAAAAGTTCAATGCATCTTTTGACTGTCAGAGCTACAAGAAGATTTTCTCAAAAAAACTTGCCAAACGAACCCTTACCAAATAGCTTATTAATCTACTGTTTTTTCAAAGAAAATATAAAACTGGATTGCATAAGTATTTACATAAAATTGAAGAAAAGATACGGAAAAACACCATCAGATCCGATGGAGAATGTCTTGTATTAAGAAGGATGACAATATAACTCCTCACTCGGGCTGCATTAGAAAGGTGTTAGGGGGCCTAAGACCCTATCCCAGATAGTATGCAAAATTTGTCCACACAACAGTATAAATACTAAGTTTCTACTAGGGCTGTAATGATTGATTGAAAATAGTGAAAATTCATAGAAATCCTCCCAAATTTAAAGCTCAATATGCCAAACCACGTCATCTGTGTAAATTTTTCTCCTTTCTCACCTTTTATTTCTTTGCTATTCTTTGTTGTTCTCCGTATTATTCACAACAAGATCAGCAAGCGTAAAAATGGCCTTCTACGTCCCAGCGAAGTCGACAAATCATAAGGGAATTAGGGTCTGAGAATAATGAACGTGCATTACAGACCCCCAGGACCAGAAGTCCCAGAAAATCTAAAAGGGGCAAAGCAATCAGCAACCTTAGCCAACGTATTCTGGGAATCTCAGGACCACTGTTCTGCAACTTAGAAACAGACTGGTAGTGAGACCATAAAGAAGCTTTCTCAGATTTTTGGTGAATCAACTACTTGGAAATCAATGCCTCATGATGGAACTCTCCAGATTCCTCATGATGTCCATGCTTAACAGGGCTTTGGAAGGAGGTCCTTCCTGACCCTTTTTTTTTATGAATGAGGTCTTTCCTGACCTTCCCCACTAAAGAGTACTTGTTCATGTTTGGACTCTAGCTTCCCGGCCCCCAAGCAATGCCTTGCCTTTCATTATCAGTGGATCAAGGGCTCCACCAGTCCACCCAAAACATTATTGATGGACCACAGGGCTGTTAAAACACAATAATTCCACATTTACACCAACCCAACCCATCCCATGTACTTTTGTCCTCCCCTCACTGTACTACCAAAACATGACATGAAGGTTCCCTTCTCTTTCCTAAAAGCAAAACAGGCTCTGGAGCCTGGATCATGAAAGAAAACAAACCAAAGATTGTTACTTCCTAGACTTTACCCATCAATGGAGTTCAAAACCTAAATTACCCCTACCATCAGGATGGCTTTAGCATTTTTAAAGCTGTAAACTAAGGGGTCCACAAGTAATAATTCATTTCTGCTCAGACTTGGATCTTTTTCTTTTTTCTTTGTTTCGTGGTTTTCCCTGCGCTTGTCTCATTTATCAAGTTAAAGCACCTTCATATAAGGTCAAGCATATCAAATGAAACAAAATTGCTAATGGGTAATAAGCTTTACAAAGGGTTATAAAAGCCAAATAACAAAAATGACAGAAGAAAATTTAAAAAAAGAAAAAAAGAACTATGAGAAATTTCTAAGAAGATCAATGACTGACTATAACCCGACAATGAACATTACATAATATATACCTTGGGGAGAGGAAAATGCAGATTTCAGCTTCTCCACTTCTAGTGTCTTGACTTGGATTACGGGTCCTTCCATGCCTCTCTACAACAGTTAAAAAGTAGGAATAAGTTGATTAACCGAGGTCAATGCATTAAGACAAAGTAATTAATCCCGAATGTTAAACTATTGATAGAGTAGAGCTGCAGGGGTTAACAGCCCAAGATCTAGCCATAAATTTTACTTGAATAAATCACGTTAAACACCTAAACAACAAAAGTCCAAGGACTCTGCATGGAAAATGGAACCCTTATTGATCAAAAAAAAAAAAATGGAACCCTAAGACCCCAACAACGGGAAGTTGGAAACAGGGTCATGGAAAGATTCTCAGATGTACAGCAGTGTTAAGTCTCCCATTTCAATACAGAAGAAAATAGCCGACACTCTTTTCTATTTTCTAACGTATTTTATGCGTATAGAGGGTCCAGATTAAATTAGTACATAAATATTCACAACAAAGGTGTACGAAATTTGACGAAAAATGATCCCATTTTTTAAAAAGATTGCAACAGCCATTCGGTAAATTTATATTACCAAGGAATAATCCCTTTAATTTTCTAAATTTACATTGAGTGGCCCCATACTAAAAGCTTTGTCGCTCTGAGACAGAGTTGCTGTTAACTGAAACTTTGACAGCCTTGAGCAATCCTCTCTAAAGTAGAAAAATAGAGGATACATAAGTAAAATTACCTAAATGACCTCAGTTATTTGAAGAATTTTAAACCCAAACCCCAAGTTCCATTGAACAGAGCTTGCTTTCTTTGACAAGGTTCCCATAGTAAGGCAAAAGTTTAAGTCTGTGATTTTTATAAGAAATATGTGTAAACAAGGAAAATCAAAGAAGCAAAAGAAGTAGAAGAAAATAGACTAACTTTTGATTCTTTGGTACTCCAGATCTCTGGCAACTCCAAGTTCTCAGAATGGTAAGCTCTTTGAAGTTGAAGATGAAGTGAGAGACTTGAAATGATCCGACGGTGCAAAATTCAAATCCTGAGGCAAATTTGCCCTCCTTACAATTCTTCTCATATTGTTCTGCAAGCTCTGCTGTACCAACCGCTTCACTGCCTTCTTCTCCTCACTCATCATCTCATCCTCGTCTTCTTCTAAACCCTTCAAAACGCGATTCTGTCCAGTTGAAGATGAAGAGGTTCTACAAATTGGGGCTGACACGGCCACACCCAAATTCCCACCATAGGTCTCTGAAACTTGCTTGCCTTTGTCCACTCTCAAGCATTCTAAGATTCTCGAAGCCCTCTTCTGCGCCAATGTGCTACCCAGAAGGGTCAATTCAAGAAGGGAAGATACAATTCCGGCCTCGATCATGGCCTGTCGGTCTCCGTAAGCCTTGTGGGCCATCACCATCAGAATGTAAGATGCCTTCTCCTGGCACCCAGATGAATCCGTCCAATTCAAGACGTCGATCAGAATTGGGAATGCGTCTAGCGAGTTGCTGATTGCTTTCCGGCCTTCCGTAGTCGAAACCACATTACTGAGAATCGACAGGACTCTTTCACTCACTTCCATGTCACCAAGCATGTTCAGGAGGTACGGAATGAGGCCGGCTTCTAGAATCTGAGAGATATTTGAAGGGGAGATGGAGAGATTGTACAATGCTCGGAGAGAGTCTTGCTCGGCCTGGGCGCTGCTTCTCTTGTCCACATTTTGCAGGGTTTTCACCAAGAACGGTATTGCGCCTGAAGAGCCAATAATCGGTTTATTTGAGTCGAGAGCGCTCAAAGCGAGGAAGTTGGCGACAATTGCTTCAGAGACCGACTCATTTGCAGACTCTATGAGTTTAAGCATCTTATGAACAGCTCCGGCTTTGACAATGGCTGCTTTGTTCCTGCAAAAGTCGAGAAGGAAAAGGTCGGAGATTCAGATCAAATTAGCAGGGGCCGTAGTATAAGTAATATAAACAGGGGAAACGCGTTTTAAAGAAATGGCGGTAAAATGGATTGAAATGTTATAAAATCTAATACGAGAGCAAATGTGACTGAAACAATAGCAGGTTGATAAAATGGATTGAAATGTTATAAAAAAGATGAACTGTTTGACGAAACGAAATGCTCGTCGGTCGGAAAAAGCGTTACAAATGCATCGGAAACACAGAATATGAATTCTCTATGAAGTTTATCTGGATACGAATAGAATAAAACAAAACGTAAAATGTATTGATGTTGTAGCAACTATTCAAGAAAAAACAACTCAAAAAAGTAAACAAGAAGCAAAATTGAACTTGACAGTAAGAAAAAGACAACGATTCATACGTATCGTTTCCGATCCCTAGATTGAGAAGAGCATAGAGCGCAGCTATCTGAAAATCGAGATCAACGGAATCAAGCATTCCGACAAGAGGAGGAATAGCTCCTAGCATGGCAAGTGTCGTCCTCGCCTCTAAATCTTCCTTCGCAAGCCTCCTAACATCAATGGCTGCTTCCTTCTGCTGCAATCCCTCTTGAAGCTGCAATATCTTAACCACTCCCTGAAGCTCCTCAAAAACCTCAAGTTTCCTCCTCGTCTCAGCCTCGGTTTCATCCTCCAACCCGGTCTCCGACGTCTGAGACAAGTTCAAAAGCTCCGACAACCTCCCTGATCCAGCATTCCTCTTTGACCCCGACCTCTGTTGCTTCTGTTTCTGCTTCAAGCTCTGCATCTGCACCGGCGAACCAATGCCAGAGTCTTCCTCATGACGGTTGCGAGAAACTCCACACATCATGGCGTCCAATAGCTTCCGCCGAAATGCCGCTCCACAAACCGCCGGCCATAGCCGGAAATTCCCTCCCCCAGCGCGTTCGAGCACCACAGATCCAACGTCGTTCCGCTGATACCTCATCATTTCCTAGCCAGCTCTCAAGCTTAAGAGGTTACCTACATTCTGCACAGAGAGAGAGAGAGAGAGAGAGTTTATATTTATAGTGAGGAGCGCTGTTTGCTGCTGCTGCTGCTGCTGCTGCTGCTGGGAAGAATAAAGCGAGCTCAGCTGCTCAGGAGAAGAAGAGAAGAAAAGCTTCCTAATAAAGAAACCCGTCCTCTCTATTCTTGACTGCGGCTTTCTTTCTGCATCGTTTACTGATCTCCAGCTCATGTAACAAGTACTAAAACCCATTCCACGTGTCTTTTCTGATTAAAACTTTTCAATCTCTCCGTCGATCAAAGATGGAGTGGGTCCCAGAATGTGGAATCTCAGCAGTGGGGCCATGGTTTGGGTCCTGATGTATAGTAATAGATTCGTGCGCGACCTATGTTGTTTCAAGGGGGGATGGCCGAAGCGGGGGAAATGAATAGTTTGGACCTTGGAGGGAAATGCAAGGGACTGGTGCGTATTTCTACTGTTAGACTTGCGTTTGTGTTTAATTACAATGGTGCCACTGACTGGACGATCACTATTGGGGGTTTGTTGTTTGTGGATCAAGTGGTTGTATGTACGACATGAAGATTGGTCAACCTGATGGAAGATTAAGGGTTGAGATGAGATCAAATTGGTTTAGATGGCAGTGTGGGCCCTGGAGCGTGCACCCGGAAAAGGAGAAAGGGCCACCATTCACGGTAGGGAGATTTCTATTGAAGTGTCATTGGATTCTCTGCGACTGTTCAGAGAGAGTGCAGCAACAAAGCCAAGCAAGTTGCAAGATTTCCGCGCACGGCTACGCGACACGTTAGAATGATTTTTGTGGCTGTTTCGGACTGGACGACACCGACACTTTTGAAAGCGAAATATCGTTCTTGTCACCGAAACTTTTGCAATTCACCACATCTTCCTACTTCGTACTAGGTAATGTTTTTCAATTTTTACACGTGCAACGAAAAACCCACACTTCAAATGCCGTAGTGCCATAAGCTTAGGGTTTGTTATGAAGCAATTATTGGAATGGGATAAGCCGTGGAAGAGTGATGAGTCGCCATTGTCTGACGTGGTCAAGTCACTTGACTCAAGTGAATGGCCACGTGGCAAATCAAAATTGTTATTATGAAATGACAGAGATCAGATCTGCTCCTCATTTAGGGCGCCTCAGACGCGCCTAACACGCACATCCTACCAGGAACATCTCTCGGAGATGTTCCCAATGCACGGTGAATGTGCATGTGAGGCGCTCAAATGTGAGGAGCAGATCCCGTTCCGAAATGACATGTTCCAAGCATGGAGACCGGATCTACTCCTCACACCTGGCACCTCACAGATACCTCATACGCACATCCTACCATGCATTGGGAACATCTCACGCACTTATTAAATATTATTCATCGGAGATATTTTCAATGCACGGTTTATGTGCCTGTGAAGCACCCATTTGTGAGGAGCAGATCATGCTTCCCGAGCAGGTTGAGAGGGCTATGTGTGGGGGCATGTTTGATACCAATCGAGATTTACTCCTCACAAAGCTCAACTCACACCTACTGCACATTTTACCATGTATTGGTAATATCTGTCATTAATAATATAACACATAAGTATCAGAGATGTTAGAAAACGGTGCTGCTAATGTGTGGGTTGGAAACACCATTTTCTGAGCAAAAGGTGTCTTTTTTCTGTTTGGAAATATTGGCGTTTCTTGGAGCAATAACAACACTTTCTCTGGCTTGGAGTATATTGGTAACGGTGTTCCATATCTGTTTTCAGCAATGGTACCCAATATAGGAAGCCCACATGACTGCCACATCACATTCTCGTTGTCAGCAATAAGCTGCAATCTGAGAAAACATCAAAGTTGGCATTGTTCCAAACCACACCTTTTCGATTTCCAAGACATGACTTGGAGCACCGCTTTTTATGGAAAAACGGTTCCAAACAAAGAGACGTTTCTTAGAGCACCGTTTTTTCTGATGTAACATTGATGTGTCACCATTTTCTTGAGCAATGACATCGATGCCAAATAGACGCGTGGGCTTAGGCCAAGCCGATCTTGGAAATTTTCAAGTTGTGTCGGACACTGGATGATGACACCTTGGGCTTTTTAGGTTTTATGGATGCGTTGGCCCAGAGACGCTTAGGATTCAACCCATGTTCTTGAGTTTGAATGAATTAATAGTTTGTTTGGTTGCTGCGACGCAGATGAGAAATATGGAAGATGACACCTTGGGCTTTTTAGGTTTTATGGATGCATTGGCCCAGAGACACTTAGGATTCAACCCATGTTCCTGAGTTTGAATGAATTAATAGTCTATTTGGTTGCTGCGACGCAGATGAGAAATATGGAATATTCGGGTTAGATTCTTTGAAACCCGTGTTTGTTTGATGGAATGGTGTGAGAAACGATGGGATATCATTTCTCAAAAACTGGGATGTGGGGTCTCACTAAAATGGTGAGACCTCGATGGGAAAAGAAAAAACTCGTGACTCAACACCTTGTGACGGCCACCACAACACCAAACTGAACATGCCTCTAAACACCAAATGGTTGCCTAACCATCAGGAACAACATCGGACTGAACTCCTGGCGGCCATTGTGACTCACCCACCATTTCAATCGACGGTCAAGTTTCTGACCCCCAAATGCTTCCCGTCGAACACCATTATGATAACAAAACCAACAGTCATGAATGCCATTAACCAATTTCCGACCCCCAAATTGAACATCCTCGCATCAGTTCCATCTCAAAAGCAAAGAAAATTAACGAAGTAATAGGCAAAAACCCAGAGGTGATCAAAACCTGTAGCACAAAGAGAGAATGTGTGTGTGTGTGAGAGAGAGAGAGAGAGAATGGGCAGGGAGATCAATAACTTCATCAAGGTATGGATCTCATTTTTAGCATCTTTAAGCTTTTGTTTCATCTGTCTCTCCGGTCCATCCATCTCTCTCTTCCGTTTAATCTTTAAGCCTATTTTCCTATCAAAATAAAAAAAAACAAAATCCATCAAAAGAAGATGATGAACAGTAATTTTCCCTTCTTAGCAATCAAACACCGGAATACCAAAATGAGAAAATAAATTTTTCCTTCTCAACAACCAAACGGATTGTAAGGCTTTCAAGTCTCGGTTGAGTTCTACTTTTGAATTAAGGCTCAATTTGGAAAGAGAACAAATATAAATATGTTGAGTGCAAATACATACAACATAATTATGGCTCTTTGTATTTATAATCTTTCCAAACTGAGCCTAACAAAGAATGGTTCCACACAAGGAGATGGACATTAGAATTCTTCTCATAATTATGGCTCCTTTGGGAGGGATTGAACTTTCACTAAGAGACACTTTGAAGAGAGTTGAGATCTCCTGCCAATATAACATGTTTAATGCATCCCAACGTCCTTCTAAGTTCTAACATTACACATCTCACCATGAGACTGGAACCCAACAGGACCTGAATAGGGTGCCAGATCATGTTGGAAAGATGTTGGAATGTATTTTGTTAGCAGGAGATCCCAACTCATTATGAGCTTTATGACTCCAGTGATGTTTGTTAATGATTAATTGACATCGATCAAGTGGATTAGCTTGGATTACCAAAAATGCCCCTTATTGGTACCGAATATATTATACTCTATGTTAAAAATTATTTAAAAAAATAGTTAAATACTAAAGAAAACTAATAAACTAATTTTTAAATCATTAAATAATTATAGAAATAAATAAACCATTAAAATATGTACTCCATTTACTAACTAATTCAAGAGCTAAATAAAATATATAATTAGTTTATTTAATAAAATAAATAAAATTGTAAGGAACTAAATAATTGCTAATAATTAATTAATCTATTTAATTAAATAATTAGTAATAATCATTTTATTAATTAGCTAAATAGACAAATTCATCTATTAAATAATTTTTTTATCATTTGATGATTAATAATAATTTAATTATTTTATTATCATTTTAATTGAATGATTAAAAATTAATCATCAAGCGACGGTTCAATCAGCTATTTTACCTTTAAATCGAAAATCAAAATTTTTAAAAATAAAAATTACAATAAAAGTGAAAAAGAATAATGGAAAAACTTGAGTTAGGGTTGGGGCAGTTTTGATTAGAATTACAAAAATAATTCAATTAAAGTCCTTCAATTCATGGATTTATTTTAAGGGGTGTGGATAGAAAGGAGACAAGTTGCAATTTTTTCAATCAGTTTTTTTTTTTTTTTTGTGTGTGCAAGGATATCATGTCGTATGCTTTGGTAGATCAGCCTCCGTTCATGAGTACACATCTGAGCCCCACAACGTCCTACAGCACATTTCTGCCGTGTATTGAAAACATTTCCTGATGATAATATCAGAATCGATGATGAGATGTTTCCAATACATGGCGGGAATGTGTTGTGGGGCTGTGAAACTAAAACAAAAAACCAGAAAGAAAAATAACTAAAACTAGGAACAAGATAAGCTGCCATCAAAGTCTTCAGTGGGAGGATTGATTAACCAGTCCAGGGGGAGTCCCAAAAAGAGACCACACCTTCTTTTCCTTGAGCTGACCTGTTGAACATTCTATTAATCCAAGTAAGCTTAAAGTTCAGATCTGCTCTATATTATAAATGTCAACCAGAATGGGCCAAGTCTTTGGAGGGCATTCAAAGGACTTCTCATTAATAGATTTAACTAAAGTTTTTGAGTCACCGTAGATGAAAAGGTTTTGAACACCCCTTTTAGTAACAGAGTACGTAGCAGCATTCTCTGATAGCACACACTTCAGCAAAGGCTGCAAATTTAGCTTTACATGGCCCACCACCAAGCAAACAAAAAACTTCCATCTGTAAATGCAAAGAACTTGCTAATTCTTGCTGGGAAGCTTTCTGCACTCCCTTCATCAACCTATTAGCACACAAAATTGTATAAACAGCACTAGGGGTCACACAGTTGAAAACAAAACCATTCCTTCCTTTCCAAATCGACCAAAGCATGATTGCTGAGTAATCCAGTGCATCTGTAATAGAGGGCAGGTGGGAATCTAATTGAGTTGTCCACCAGCACCATCATTCTACAATAGGATGAAAAGTCAAAACAAATTTAAATTTGTAAATTTACTGTTGAGTGCACCACCAAACCAGGCAGCTCTGGCATGACTAAAATCTAAAAGAGCATGAATGATACTTTCGCTGGAGCCACCACATAAGGAGCACATCTCATTTGAGCCCATACCTCTCCCAGCTAAGGTCTTTGATGGGACTTTAAGAGCCCAAATTTTCTTCCATTGTGCTTGGGTTAAAGTTCCGTGGGTTCTCTCATTTTCCGGGGCTAATTTTAGCTTATTTGCCAATTGGTACGCAGATTTAACTGAAAATCCACCTTTCTGGGTCTGGGGACCAATACAGTTTGTCTTCACCACCCGCTCTTGGAAGGATTATTGACAGTATTTTTTGGGCTGTTATGCTGTCAAAATTGCCATGGATTACCTTTGAATTCCATTCATGTGTTTGTTAGTCAATCAAATCAATTATCATTCTAACATGACATGAATTTGGTCTCGGGCCCATAGGCTTAAAACCAGCCAAACCATTTATCCATGGGTCGTCCCAAATGCTAATATTCTCCCCTTTTGCTACACACCAAACAGCACCTTCTTTCAATATTTTTCTACCTGTGAGAATGCTTCTAAAGCCCCAAGAGCAATTGGAGGAGTCTTAATGAACCAAAAACTTTTCCTTAGATATCTCCCTTTAATCACCTTGACCTACATGCTTTCCTTATTTGTAAGGAATCTCCATACTAGCTTTGATAGCAAAGCAAGATTAAAGGCACGAGGGTCTCTAAAACCCAATCCCCCCTCCCCCACTGAATTTGCTCTTACAAACCTTTTGCCAATTAACCCAATGAATCTTTTTGTGGGAACTTAATCTCCCCACATGAACTTTTTTTGGGTTTTATCCAACTATGCACTAACTTCTTTTGGGACTAGAAAGCATGACATAGTGTAAGGTTAAAATCAACCTGATCATCACCTCCTTTCCGGCCAAAGAAAGAAAGGTGGATTTCCATCCATTTGCCATAGAGTCCATTCTTTCACAAAGGTATCTGAAGATTTCTTTCTTTGATTTTCCAAAGGAGGATGGGGGGCCAAGATAGATTGTGAGGTGAACTACATTCTTGATGCCCATGATTTTAGACAATTTTTTTTTTTTTTAGTTTTGGATGCGTATTAGGGCTAAACTAGATTTCAGATTTGGATAGTTTCACCTTGTGTCTCGAAACTTCCTTGTATTTCTTTAGGGCTTCTAGTATCTTCCCTCCTTCCACATTTGCTTTGGAGAAAATGTATGAATCATCTGCAGAGAATGAGTGATCGCATGACAAGATTGATTCATTTTAATGCCAGAGATTTCACCAGTTAGATACATCTATATCTATACTACTTCTAAAAGAACGAATAGCCTCATAGATTCTACCCCCACCTATTTATGTATACAAAGGGTATATATGTAATTTACTTCGATTGTAATAGAAACCGAAAAAATCGGTTATATCTCCCACGATCTCTTCCCTGTCTCCTACTAACTCTTTAAGTTTTCAGAAGAAAGATGAATCGAGTTAGAGTGAGGAGTAGGATTTGGGGAATCGAGTTCGAGTTTGAAATTTACAGGAGGTGAAAGGGCTAGCTCTAGGACTTGAACTTGTTGCTCCACGTCTTGTTCACCCTCTTTGTAGGAAGAAGAGCACATCTGAATCGTCTTATCACATTTGCAATGTTGGTGTCTTTTCCTTCCCGTTTTCAGTCTTTCATTTCAAGTTCGAACCTGAAGGTAGAATGATACATTAAAGTTGGATTTGGGTGCGTTGGATTAGGATTCTTCTGCTTATTTTCATGTTTTTCAGCTTCGCCATTGATGATCTCTCCATTGGCTCTGAAATCACCGTTGTTGGATCAAATTCCTCAGGTAAAGGCTCAACCTTTCCATTAAATTTATCAGACATCACATCAACTTCGATACTCCCAACCATGATTCCTCCGTCTAAGGAAAAAAACCTAGAAAACTTATAGAAGTCTCTACATCTGCTCCTTCACCGCCTCCTCAAGGTCCGCAACTCAAATTCAACAAATGGTCAAAACAAGGATTTGCTCATCTCCGAGAAAACAGTTATTCAATGGAAGCATCCATAGTTTTCACTCAGTTTTCAACTGCCATTGCTGAGACTTTCCAATCTCCCTCATTGGTTATTCTTGGAAGATCTCGGATCAGAGGATTCTTAGGACAGAGCTTCAATTGATGCGGTGATTAAGCATCTTAGCTCCCCTGATTTGAGAGTTGGTTGGGGTATTCATGTTGTGCAGGAGGTAAAATTGTTGGCCAAGAAGGGAGATCGAGTGAATCTAGATGTTGCCATCAACGAGCTCGTTGGTCTTGGCTTGCAAAGGTATTCCATAACCTTCTTTTAAAAAAGAACATGGTTTTGCCTTTGGCAAGAAAAACTGGGAAGTTGGTCCTTTAGCTGAACTGCTACACCTCATTCAGGGTATAAAGCCTAACCCCCAAATGGCAGATGAAGGAATTTGGTCATTGGAAACTTCAGGCAAGTTCTCTGTTAAATTCTTCTATGGAAATATCTCTCAATTGCACGACAGGCAAATTATTGCTTTCCCTTGGACCAGAATCTGGTGTTTCCACATACCTCCAAAGATTGGCTTTCTTGTATGGACAGCAGCCCATGGTAGATGGAGGCCTGCCTATGTTTCTTATGTAAAGAGGTTCCTTAATCCATGGATCACCTCTTCATTCACTGCAAGTTTTCATGTCAGTTGTAGGTTATGGGCCTTATGGCACTATCCTGCTTTGGTATTCATCTATGCTTTCCGAATACAGTCTTACAATTGCCGCAAGATTGAACAATTAATGTTTTGAACAGGAGTAAACTTTTATGTAACAGCTTCCCGGCTGCTATCATCTGGGCAATTTGAAAGGAAAGGAACCATCGCATTTTTTATAATAAATACTCCAATTTGGATGAAATCAAAAGCTATCCTTTTGGCCTGCTATGTTCTTGACTCGGTGTACAAATGTTGTTTCAGGGTGTCCAACTAAATTCTTTTTTGCAAGTTGGATCTTCTTTTTAGATGATCTTTTTGTATAATCCCATTATAGAGGTCCTTTTGTACAATGGCCGATGTACTTATGTTTATTCCTCACTATATTCTATTATAAATCACTAAAAAAAAAAAAAAAAAAAAAAAAAAAAACCCTCTCTTATATAGTTCCAATCGATGGGGTTCCGTCTAATTTCATCTTAGATGTAGCTAATGTTTCCCTTGCTTTGTTAGGAAATGGAAAACATATCATGTGCTTTTACCCACACTTTAGCTTTATACCCCCATTTAATGGCATTTATTGAATCATTTTCCATAACAAGAGATGGTGATGGCTTGTTTTTTCTATTTGGGAATCTATAAGGAAGGCATGAACTTAGTTTTAGTAGAGTCTGCATAATCAGTAGGGCAACACTAAGACCAGAACACACTACAATTAGATTTGAGGGATCACCCATAGTTTTCAAGATGCCAAGGCAAGGCTACGCAACAGGGGAATGCCTTGTTGCCTAGGTGATGGTTTTCTTTTTCTTTTTTGTTTTTTGAATAAAATCCTTGAGGACCAACCTAACCATTGTGCCAAGGCATACAAGAATTAATTTTATAATTTTTGTTAAAATAATAAAAATTAAAAACATATAAAAATACAAAAAATATAAGTAAAAGCTTGACACTTATCTGATATTATACATTTGTGGCATTATACAAAGATAAATGCCATACATAAGAGTTTTTTTTTTATTATTATTATAGAAATGGAATAGAAAGTTTAAAGCTACCAAAAAATGAAAGCATTCTCTTTTCAGAGTCATGTGAGTCAACTCATGTGGTCATATTTAAATAATAAAAATTTAAAATTTGATAAAAATCAAAATTATGATAGTACAAAAATTTTGTAAAAAAATGCATAAATTCATGATGTTCTTTATTTACATATCGCATAAAAATAACTATGATAAATAAGAAATATTTAAAAAAAAGAAAATAAAATATTATTTTTGATGATGGGATGCATATTTTAAATCCACCAACACACCATGTCTCCATTACTTTGTTTATGAATTTCATAAGGATATTATTATTATTATTATTTGACATTGTCACATGCAACGCATGTGCACATTTACTAGTCTTATGAAGCATCATTGAGAGGACTTTAGAGCAGAGTAAGAAGAGGCAAGGGGGGAGAGGGTCCCCCTACCTCAGGCCTCTAAAATGGGAGAAACTTCCACTTGGGCTTCCATTCACAAGGATTTGAAAAGATACAGAGAATATGCATTCCATGATCCAATTAGCAAAAGAATCACCAAAACCCAATTTACTCAGAACATTTTTGACAAATGACGACCATTCAATCCTATCATAAACTTTGCTCATATCCAACTTGATTGCCACAAAATTCTACTTTTGTTTTATAGTTTTCATAAAATGAATTATTTCATGTGCAATCAAAACATTATCAAATATCATTCTACCTGGAACAAAGGCATTCTAATTTAGACTGACAGCTTTTGACAAGTAAGGTTTTAATTTGTTCACTCGGACTTTTGCTATGATTTTGTAGATGGAATTGCACAAGTTTATTGGTCTAAATTGGGAAGCAAGTTTAGGATTTTTGCACTTGGGCATTAAGGCCATGAGTGTTTTGATTAAATCCTTGTGGAGGGTGCCTTTTTGAAAAAAAAAATCTTCACTGCCCCTACTACATTGGGTCCCACCCAATTCCAATAATTTTGAAAGAAAGAATTTGCATGCCCATCTAGGCCCAGGGCCTTATGAGGACTCATTTGGAATAGGGCTTCCTTTATTTCCTCTTCCCTTCTTTCTGGAAGCACACATTGTCATTTGGAGTTATGATTGGTTGGATTAGGTCTAAGAGATCTTCCCCTTCTCTTGGATTTGAAGAAGAAAAAAGGTTTCTAAAATTATTCACCAACATCTATGAGATTTGGGATTGGCCTGTGACCCAATTATTGTCCTCATCTTTTAGAGTCACTATATGATTCCTAGCCCTCCTTCTCATGGTTTCTTGATGAAAAAAAAAAAATTGTATTTTTATCACCTAACCTTAGCCAATCTTGCCTTGACTATTGAGTCAACAAAATTTCTTCTCTCCACAACTCCACATCTAGCTGATTTTCCAACTCACTTACTCTGGATTCACTAAAAGAGAAACCAAGTTTACTTCTTTGACTACTAAGCTCTTGCTGGATGGATTTAATTCTATCATGTACCTTCCCAGAGGCTTTCTTATTCCATTTCCTTAGTTCTAGTTTCAGATTTTTACAATTCTAACTAACTAAGGCTTGATTCTCCTCTATTCTTCTCTCCATCCAAGCTTCTTAGACTAACTTACCACAATCCTCATGAGTACTACACAAGTTTTCAAATCTAAAAGGCCTTTTGAGCTTACCCATCATAGGAGATGTGTCCAGACAAATTGGGATATTATCAGACCCACTAGTTGTCACATTTACTACTCTAGCCTCCTGGAAAGATTCCAACCATTTCCTTCTAGCCAAAGCAAGATCAATCTTTTCTCTTACATTTCCTTTACCTTCCCTTTTATTTGTCCAAGTGTATTTCTCCCCATGACTAGTTAGCATCTTTAAACCAATAGATCTCAAGAAAATCCTATTTCTTCTCGGCGTTGCAGTTGAAATTGGTTTTCCCCCAATTTTGTCTTCTCTTCTAAAGATCATGTTGAAATCCCTTATGCAGATCCAAGGACCCATTATCAAATTTGTTGATCTTGACCACAGTTCTAAGAAGTTAATCCTCTTTCTTTTGTCCAGCTCTCCATATACGAAAGATATCATCCAAGGATCTTTCTTTTCTTCTTTTACACAAGCTGTTATCATTCTTTTCACGTAAGAAGTGAGTTCAAATCAGCCCCCCACAAGATTGTCCCCCACATCTCCCACAATACATCCCCGTTGTGTATTGGGAATATCTCCCAATGATGACATCATCATTTCTGGTATTATCATCGGGAGATGTTCCCAATACACGACAAGAATGTGCTGTGGGACATTATGGGGGGCTGATTTGATCTCAGAAGAAGTGGCTTAGGTAACACAACTCAATCAACACAAAAGCCCTCCAAAATAGGTCCTTATGCACTCTGACTTCATGTTTATGCCTGCCCTAAGCCCCCAAGTCCATTATTCACATTATATAGTTTAGATTTTGGTTGTGTATTGGAAGGGAGATTTTAACTCATCTTGTTGATTCGTTTGGACTGGTTATCAAACCAAGCTCGAACTCAATACAGCTTGACTCATGAGGCTTGTGAACTTAATCGAGCTTTTACATATACATATACATTCACATACATATCATAGTTGAGACCTTTTTTTCTTCTGCTTTTTTGTTTTTATTTTTATTTTTTGTTATTAATTAATTAACTAACGAATTTTAATGTTTTCAATGCCATGTTAGAAAATTCTCAGTTGGTGGTTTTATTGAAATGTGAGTCGTTTTTCTTGGAAGGGCATGCATCCACTTAGATTTACTGTTGCTTGGTACAATGATAAAATTTTGGACTGATAGGCGTAAGAACATAGGTTCAAGTCTAAGAATGACCACTTTATGCAAAAAAAATGGTAAGATTAGGTCTACCCCAAGACCTCAGATAGTTGGGACTAATATTGGGGACTGTCAAATTAGGGTCCCTCACAATCTGGTACAAATTTTAAAATGGTATCTAAAATAGAGTAATTACTAGTGATATATGATAAAATTGCATAAGAACTAAGAAGGGAAGCCTGCTCTCAGTAGACAAAGTTAAAGTGACTATGACTTTATTTGTTACGAAAAAAGGATCCACCAACCCTCATCAAAAGGCAAAAGAATTTTGTTGGGGTTTTTTCGGGGTGGGGGGACTCTTACAGATTACCCACTCAAGCAAAATATTTGTTGTTTGGTTGGTGGGGTATTTTTTGGAATGATCAATTCATTTATTAGACACCACCCATACTTTCATGTATTTATTAAAACCTATTTTTGGTTTGTGTATTACTAAAATATTTATCTATTGTTTGCAACTGCACGTACTTATCACTATTTTTTAGATAGAGTATAAAATGGCATTTTTAACCCTAACATCCATTCAACCATATTACTCAAAAGAATTAAAAAGATATTGATTTTGTCATAGAGCTGTGTTTGTAAAAGGTTGATATGATCATTGATTCATTGTTAGGAGTATTTTTTAAATTAAAAATGAAAACAATTCCTAGAAGCATATCCTTGAGATCGGATTCAATCCTCACAAAATGATGTTCATACTGTATACTGAAAATATATTCTTATAAATACAAATATATAAGTATATAGATATTCACAATACACGATTGCAAGTAACTGTGAAAACGGTGTAAACACCATTTTGTGAGTACCGAATCCGAATTCCACACCCTTGTATATTTTCCACTCACTTTAAGAGGTTACTTTACCACTAAACGTTCTCAAATGAAAACAAAAACTGTCGCTGAGAGAAGTGAGAAGGCCAATTAACTACAGAGATTGCAAATTATCGAGGGAGTGTTTCAGTAATATTGAAATTATAGGGTAGATCTTAGTGAATTCATGGGGTGTCCCCAAGTAAATCGCCCCTATAAGTACCTCACAGATGGGTTATAATACCAGGATAGGAATTGACTGATCTCCCTATGTTTATTTTGATTCATAAAATGAAGTCAAAATCAACAACACCCTTTTTATGATTTATTGCAAAACAAATGATTTTCTCAAAATTGAATCTGACTGACTACTGTAGAATATATGGGTACGAGATTTGGATCATAGGGGCTATTTAGTAATGGCTGAAGTTGTTGAACTGAAAGGCTATCTTTTGGTAACAAGATAGTTAAATAAATAAAATTTTATGGGTATAATCATCTACCAAGCTTCAGTTTCAGCTAGGGGTATATGCCGAGCCAACTTGGTTCGAAAATTATCAAATAGAATCAAGCTTCATAATACTGGTTCGAGTAGCTCGTAAGCCTAATGAAGCTTTTAATAAAATATTATTTTTTAATATATTTTATTTATAATATAAATATATATTGATTTTTTATGTTAATTTATTTATAATATAAATAAGTAAAATTATAATAAAGTTTCATAATATATTTTTACTTATAATATTTCAGAAAATTAATGTATTTATAATTTTAACATATAATTAAGTTTTCTAATATATTTTTATTTATAACATTTTAAATATTAATTTATTTATATTTTTTAATAGCAATTTATTTATAATTGTCTCAGTCAAGTCAAGCTCGAGTAGCTCGTAAGTATTGATTGACATGTCACTTGAGTCAAGCTTGAGTATGAAATTCAAAACTCAATCGAGCTCCTAATTTTTGAGCTAAGCACAAGCATGAACCGCCCAAAACTCAACTTGATTACACCCCTAGTTTAAGCCATTAAGGAGCCACGACCTCCTTAAAAACCTGTTCGATAAAAAAAAAAACAATAAGATTCAGTTCAGCATCTTCAAGTGTTAACAAATGGCCCTTGAATGAATGAGAAATATGAGGGGAATGGCTGGATTTGATAAAGAGGACATGGGTTCAAACTTCAAAGTATTGATACTCTCACAACACAAATTTTGCACATTAAGCTGTGTTTGGTTGCAATGCAAATAAATTTGCACTGACACAAAATCATGGCAGTGCAAATTATTGAGTGTAAATCCTGACCTATTTTTGTTTCAAATTGTAGCTTATTTTGTCTGATTGCAGTACAAATGAAGAAAATTAAGACATGAAACAGAATAAAGTGATATCCAAAACAAAATTAAACAAGAATTTGCATTTATTACATTTGCACTCCCATGTATTTGTACCAGTGCAAATAAAATTGCACTGCAACCAAACATACCCTTAAGAATTTAGGAGAGCAGAAACTTTTTACCCTAGGCTTAGTTTGAAAGGAATACAAATATATACAGTGCAAAACCATGTATTTTATAATATATTATTTTATATGTATTTGTATTCCTTCCAAATACGATATTGAAACTTTGAACTTTGAAGAGGACCAACATACTGTCAGTCGGTGTTTGGAAAATAACTAGAAAATTTATCAGTACTCGCTCTTTGTAGCAACGACTCCATAGCATTTTCTGTGAAAATCATTTGTTATTCTTCATTTCTACATGCAATGATGAAGACCATAATTAGAGGAAATATGTGGAGAATCCCCAACCCCAAGGAGCACGGTATGCCGTATAGATTCTTACTGATAGAAGACCATAACATAATGACTAATGAGCACTGCGTAATAGAAATATGTGATAATGTGAAGAATCCCCCACAGCACATCCGTGCCATCTATTTATTGGAAACATCTCCCGATGATAATATCTAAAATGATGATGTCATCATTGGGAGATGTTCCCAATACGTGGCGGGGATGTGCTGTGGGACATCCCCATGAATACAATGGGATGTTATAAACATGAACAAAGTAATCTACTATTTCCAGCAAGTTACTTTGACACCCCATGAATTCTAACAAAGACCCCGCACTACAAAGGTTTTTAGTTGAAGGGCTATACGACTTTGGACCACTTTTGGGAGCAAACAAGACATGGTTTAAACAACGCATTAACCCAAGTTACTATTTGAATAGGAAAATGATTCACCGGTCCCAACAAGAAACTATAAAGTAATTTCTCACGTAAGAGACTGAAACGATAAGAATTACTTGGTTACATTTTAAATCAAGTATGATAACCAATCAAGACTCAAAAAACACTCCCAAAAAGATGGGGGTTATCCTCAAGCTACCAAAAAGGGAAAAATGTCCCTACAGATTCAAATTTCAAACTCTGTTGCAACTTGAATTAACTACTCACTCAGTGAGACTTCACGTACTCCTGGACAATATGAAGACCCTCTGATTCCTCCCCATAGTCCTGCAAAATTCGTAATAAAAGGGTTCATCAGCTAAATCTACTTCACAAAGATGCAAAAAAACAGATGCACCAAAATTTTCCCATTTGTATATATATATATATATATACCTTAATGACAACGCAGGAGCATCCTACCACTTTCCTCGCCTTTCCCTCTGAATCAATTTTACACAACTGCATGGAAAAAACACCGGTCAAGGAAATCAATAGGATATCTGGAGAAAACATGAAAAAACAAACAGGCATGGAATATGGGAGGAGGGGTTGGGGGTAAGCATTTCATTTGTCTGCAACAAACAACAACCTAATTAAGAATATAATAGGCACAATAAACGAGGAAACTAGGACTACAAAATGGTAGCTTCCAGTTGCATAGTTTATCGAATAGGAAATCTGAAAGCCAAACCATTGAACCAATGGACTTTTTAGGCTTCTTATGCTCAACCAAAAGAAATCTAGAAAAGCACCATGCACAAGTACTTCTACAATTTTAACTGGGTGTAAATGACCCCAACTTTGGTAACATGGAAAGATCTGGCCTATCAGCCTTACCAGATCCATCTTTTGGATGAAGGACTAATGCGTATAAGGTGAAATGATTAATCTTCTGATCCATATATAAATCCTATACCCAACCCTGAACAAGTTCATCGTGCTACATGGGTGACTCTGGGGACAGTTTTTCACTAAACAACTTGACACCAGAGGGCATGCTCCAAAAGAAGATTGTTAACCAAACTACCAAAACAATAGCTCAAACAAATAATAAGACATTGCAAGGATTAATTGAAACACAAACATATTTAAGTGACAAGGATTTTGTTCACTTACACCAGCCCACTCTCCGAGTGTTTTAGCACTTGGCACCGATATCAAGCTTACATTGTGGTCAGCGCAAAGTGCTTTGACCAGTTTAATGTAGTCTGGCTGGTTGCAATCCTCGGCCAATACACAGAGCTGTGCAGCATGTTTTTCAATCACCTTAGCTCCTTCATGAAGCCCACGTACAAGCCCACCATTAGCTAAAGATTTCTTCAGAACAAGCTGCAAGGCTGTCATGATGTCCATTGGCTCCCCTAAAGCAGGAGCAGCAGGAGCAGCAGTCTCAACTGCAGCAGCACCATCCTCACTGCAAAAGCAGTAGACAGGAGCAAGTAAGACAGACATACAGAAGGTTTCTTTTTTAACATAAAGAAAGGAATGAATCAGAAGTAATACAGATAACAGAGACTTTTAATTTACAATGGTAACAAATCCTATTAACTGAAACCAACCCACAAAATCAAGACCAGAGATACAACACTTCTCATAAATATTATTGATTGCTATAGGAAAAAATTACAGTGCCTTGTTCTTAAGAAAACTAAAAACAAAAGTACAAACATTTTTGTAAAAGAATTAATCCATTGGTAGCACCACCACATAACCATCTAAGATTTGACAACAGCTCATCCGGCAATCCATGGCTCAATGATGGGGGAATTTCAGGTTAACAAGGTCTTTACCATGTAGGTTCATAGCAGTCCAGTTGGAAATGCCTACTCTTTCAAGTTTCAAGATTGATGTAACAGATTCCCTTTGGGCTTATACCAAGAATGCCTTACATAGGCATAAGGAGATCATCTAATGCTACCCGATGTAGCAGATTCCCTTGGATACTTTGCTTCTTACTCAAAAAGATCATACATCTTCTAGCTGCTTTAGATGTATTCCCAAGGAGCAGACCTATTTGGCTAATGGTAATAGATTAGCTAGATCTATGATGGCAAGCATTCTATTCTCTGACAAGTTTGCATGACCATAGGGAAAAAAGAGCTAAACCCCTTCAGCAAAACCAAAATATCACAAATACAAAGTCAATAAAGTCAATCTTGATTTTGATGATCCTTTACTCCATTTTATGAAGAGTGGGAAATGCCATCTAATATGGCATATGTTTCCAGTTCCATCATAATAAATCCTTTATTAATCAGTAGACTGATACACTCACAAGAAAGAAGTGTTACAAGTTCCTAACAGAAGGCTAACTTCAAACTCTTCAAGCACCACACCCTCCAATGCAAACTTCCACCACTGTAACTGCCATTATCACCAATGCCATTTTTTTCTTAAATATCTCCAATGCCAACATGCATGTTTTTTACTTCACCTAATACAGATGAAAACACTCCCAAAACAAAAGCAAGACACCACCCATACTGCAAAAGCATCTAAAATATTAACAAAACAAAGTTCACGATTTCATTACCACAGTCATAAAACTCTCTTATGTGTATGATGTACAAAATACAGACAACCAATAAGCTTTACTTGTTTTAATACATGGATGGTAGACGGATTATACAACAAACAATAAATTTTACCATCCAAGGAGGCACGGCTGGTCATGAATATAGCAGAAACCTCATAAGTAGAAAAAAATGAAAAGCAATGGAACAATAAAGAATTAACTATTTGCTTACCCTGACATCTTTACGGTTGAAATTCAGATTCGAAATCTCTTCCTGGTGCCAGAAATAACCAGGCAAAAGTATCAGATAAGAGGGGGAAAATCCAATAAAACCAAGCATAAAAGAATAACAGACCATATATCAATTTCGAGTAAGCATTAGCATAGTTTTTTCACTCTATGTTCGAATAAACAATTGAACTTACAGTTAAATACATGCATCATTTACCAACCGAAACTGTTAAATACATGCACTAATCACCTCCTTTCCATAACCATTCCTCTTTTCAATCAACACCGAGTTCACTCGGTTTACCATGCTTCCTTCCCAAGATATCATCCATAACATCCAAAATAACAGACAGAAAATTTCTTAAAACAATACCAACCTAGTAAATAAAACGAAGATAAAAAAAAAAAAAATTGTAAAACAAGCACTGTCATCCAAAACAAATTATTAAAGACTATCAGCAAGACAGAAAATCACACCCATTCAACAGAAGACAAAAAAAAAATCTCCACTCAAACAAACGGAAATTAACGCCGTAGATGCACTGGACCAACAAGGAGAAATGAACAAACAGATCACTGATTCCCGGCAATTTCTATGATGTCGTAAGGGTATGATACCGGAAGAATTTTGACCTATCAGACCCCCCCAAGTAGAATTTGGATGAGTACCAGTTGATCCGTTTCCCCTTCTATGATACCGGTTGATTTGTTATCAGTTTTTTAATTCTCATGCCTTGTTGGTATCATAGTCGGAGAAACCCTAAATCTTCAAAATTTTGAAGAATGCAATCAAAAACTAATTTATCTTGAATAGCAGGAACACTAACGATCTTAAATTGAGAACTAATGGCCGGGTTTGTCACCTGAGCGATGAGATCACAGAAGTCTATCTTTTCTCTGCGTCTCGTGCCGCCGTCGAGAGGTCTGTGCTCCTATCAACTGTAATTTATCCTGGGCCAAAAACCCTAAAACCCAAGAACGGTTCCCGACGATAGACCCAAGATATGCTCTGCCATCGAGTTTCGAACTCTAACGATTCAAGCTAGCTCGTCATAGCCGAGCCTGTCGCTTATCTCCGATTCTAACTCGTAGGACTGTCAACGGATCGGGTCTGGATGGTTACAGTCCCGAACCGATTATTAATCTGGACAAAATTACGGATCCAGAATTGTCCCAGTTAATAGTCGGGTCTGACGAGTTCACATCTACGCCCCACAAAGGGGCGTCCCACAACGTCCCACAGCACATTCTGTCGTGTATTGAAAACATCTCTGGATGATGATACTAATTCCAATGATATCATCATCGGGAGTTTTCAATACATGGTGGGAATGTGCTGTGGGACATTGTGGGGTGCAGATCTGAACTCGGGCCTGACAGATCTAAACCCGATTATACTTAAAATTATATTTGTTTATTTAAATAATAATTTAAAATTCAAATTTTGGTAATGCAATCTCAATAAATATGATAAAAATACTAAGTTATTTATACTTAAATAAATTAAACATTTTTAATTAATATTATCTTCTATATTTATTATTTTCTATTCAATTTACCAATTCAAACATAAGATATGATAAAATTATAAGAAAATAAAAAAAAAAAATCTTTGGGACCTAATACAAGAGAAGAAAGGAGAGAAAGGACAGGAATTTTAGGACCTAATGATCAGATAGAGAAAGAAAAATTATCTAAACTCTTGTCCATCCCTAAACTTCAGCCATGTTCAACCATTCAGCTATTATAAGCGTTCAATGGGTGTCCATAAATGGTTGCAAATTCTCTACAACTAATCAAACCCATTTGCTGGAATCGTTTGCCTTATTGATACCTTGAGTTTACTGGTTTATCTTTAGGTTGAGTTTGGAAGAAATACAAATGCAAATATGTAGAGTGCAAAACCTTATATTTTGTATGTATTTATGTTGTACTCTTTCCAAACCGAGCCTTAGTTTCTCAACCTTTTTATAGCTTTCTTCTAGTTTTCTTTTAGTTCTCTCTTAGATAGCTTTCAGTCTTGTTTCTTTCTTCCAGTTGGTTTGTTATAGTTTTCTGTGCTTTTTCTTTTCGTTCAGGCCTTAATTTAGCTTGTCTTACATGAAAGGTATCTTTTCCCCTTAGGGGATGACAGCTTTAGAGAGGCTGTAATCTTTATTACTGTCTGAAGTTAGGTGGTTTCTGAGTGTTTGGGATGGTATTTTCTTGGGAGAATGACTGTTCATCCCACATGCTAAAACTACAGGTAGGATGCGGTTCATAAGAGAGGTTGTAATTTCAGAATTGTCAGTAGGCTACAGTGTATTTCTCTGTCTTTGGTTTGCTCGAGGTTCTGCTTTTTTGTTTGGTTGTTTTCTTTTCTTTGTTGTTTTTGCTAGTTGACTATCTGTATTTATTTCGCAATGATGGTTTTCTTTGCTGTGTGTACCTTATTTTCTCCTGCTTGTTGTGAGTGTTTGTGGTTATTTTGTCTTCATTCAGGATATGTATGAATCTTTATAGCGAGGTATTAACGAGGTTCGAGATTTTGGGGTGGTGTTCTAGATGTCTGAGGTCTCTCGGCCTTGGTTCAGTTTGAGGGATGGAGGTGGTGCATTATTGGTCGTGTCTTTCCTAGGCTAGTGATTCCTTTTGATGCGCTTTCACGTACCTTGCATGGTCTTTGGAAGGTTCCAACTGAGGATATTAGACTGGAGCCTCTTCAGAGAGGTCTTTAAGGCTATGTTTCGCCATGTCTATCATTATGGTAAGGTTTTAATGGGTGTTGCTTAAGGAACGGAGGGAAGAGCAAGTTCAATCATCAATCTTGTTGAATGAAGAAGAAGTTTGGGTGCAAATTCATGATCTAGTGGATTAGTTTATTTTCCTTATGCTCGGTATCGTAGTTAATGTTATGTATCCAAAAATTTTGTTAAGATACTTCAAGATTTTGAGTTCTAGGAGATTTTTCCTTAAGGAGGTGGAGTCTCTTGGTATAGGTATGTTAGAGGTTTGGGTAACCTATATAGATCTCTTGATCGAGTTTTTGTTTCACCTTCTTAGCTTTCATTTTTCAAATATGTCTCTATCTCTTTAGGTCCTAGTTGGGGTTCTGACCATCATCTTGTTTTAGTTGAAATAGGTGAACAAAGGAAAACTAAACCAAAGCCTTTTCGGTTCTATAATATGTGGCTTATTGCTGAAGGATACGAGGATGTTGTAAAAATTGCTTGGAATTTTCCTATTATTGGAATTGGAATTGGAATCAATTTAGAAATGTTCATGGCCAATTGAGGTTTATTGGAAATCAATTCTTCCATGTTGAAGAGTTAGGGATGATGGATGGGGATACAAGAGATTATTTATTTAAGTTGGAAGCTAAGAGGAATACTCTTTTAAATTATCAGGAATCTTATTGGCGCCAGAATTCCAAACAGTTGTGGTTAGAAGGTGATAGGAATACTCAGTTTTTCCATCTAACTGCCACAATTAGGTTCTCTTAAAGTCTACTCTACGGTCCATCCCTAATCATGTTATGGCTGTGGTTAATCTTCCTAAAAGTCTCAATGAGAAATTTGATAAAATTCAAAGAAAATTTTAGTGAAAATTTGGCAAGAATTCTCAGGTTTTCCTTGGACCAATTGAGATCAAATATATTCTCCTAAATTATACTGGGGGTTAGGTGTCAAGAAGGCTAGTGAAGTAAATAAAGCCTTTCAGATGAAGTTGGCTTAGACTTTCTTGAATCAAGACCAAAGATTGTGGGTTAAGCTTTTGAGGAGTAAATATCTAAACCCACATTGTATATCTCTTTCAAGACCAAAAGCTCATAGTTCTTGGATTTGGAGATTTATTTTTAAATTTATTTCTGTTCTGAAACCGAACTTAATTTTTAAAATTTCTCTGGACACACTTGTATGAATATTTGGAGTGTTCCCTGGATTAAGGTAGGTAATGATGTTGTTCCTCCTATAGGTCCTATAGGTTGTTGTTCTAGGAGTGTTTGTTTTGCACGCCTATTTAATGGGTTAGGAAATTGGAATGCTGAAATTATATCTCAGATTCTTGGTGATGGTTAGGTAGATTATGTGTTTAATGTTCATATTTTCAGGGAAGCTTCAGATAGCTATTTTATATGGAATCTTTCCAGGAACGACATTTTAATCAAGGTTTTTAAAATCGACCCAGAGAACAAACCGGTCAGGGGTCTGATTTTTGGGTCAAATGGTTCGACCGATCGAATGGTTGGTCTGTTCTGACAAACAAAAAGAACAAAAAACGGTTAAAGCCGTTGAATAGTTTAAACGGTTCAACCATCCGAGTCAATGATTTGCTAACGAAATCAATGTTTTTTTACAAATATCCGGTTTTTTGCAAATATCTGGTCTGATTTTGAAAACCATAATTTTAAATGCATGATGAAACTTTGATTCATTTGTTTTTTAAATGCCCTGTGGCAACTGGCAAGAGCTGCTCTTTGGTTTTTGTCTCCTTGGAATTTTAGATCCGACGTTTTGTAGAAATACTCGTTCTGAATAATTGTTAATATTTTGAGATCTTGTATTTGGGTGCTGAGAAGAACAAGTAGTGTTTGTGTTACTATATTTGGATTACTGGGAATAACATCATCTTTCATGAGCAGCAATTTTCTCTTGATCGCCTTATTGAACTCCCGATGTATCTTCTCATTTGTAAATTCTATTCAGGTGCCTCCTCCCTATTTTATCTTTTGTGATGGAGGGATTATTGGCCAATATAATGGAATTTTTGGCTTTGTGTGTTCTAATTCTAATTCTAAGTCTTTTGAACTATCGAAAATATATTATGTGCATGGATCAAGGAATATGTCTGCCCATTGTATAGTTAAAAGAGGCAAAATATTATGATTTTCAGCTTTTTTTGGGAGGATTGTCTCCCTCCTTTTGTGGAACCTTTTATTGTAATTAGATCTGTTCATGAGCTGGGTTTGGGTTTAGCTTTTACTAAAATTTGAATAAAACCCGGCTTAAAGCCCGAGCCCGACATACTTTGAAGTTTCAAAAACTAGTTATACATACCTTCTAAGTTGGCCTCACAAAACATAAAGTCATACACCATTTTAGGGCCATTAACAGTTAAGATTACAACTTTCTCTAATCCCAACTTTAGCCTACTTAAAACACTATTCATCCTCTTCAAACTTTTGGATGGAAGCTCCGTTGGTGGTAGAAACATCGATAAATTGGTGGGCGCTTCCAAAACTCATATGTTTGCTCTTTAACTAGTTGACAATTCTTTCTTTAGTTGATGATTGTCACCGGCAGAAACTTTTCAAACATTTCAAATTGGTAGACTCCCTTCCTCTTAACTCGTTGAATGTGAGGGATCAGATCGACCTCACCTCCCTTCCCCTTATCCATCTCTCTTTCTCTCCCCTTTCTCTCTCTAATATCCTTCTTCTTCTTCTTCTTCTTACGTTTCCACCCCATCTTGCTCCCAACATTCTCTTTGAACAATCCTATGTAGTAGCAGTGGTTGGGAGTTGTAATGGAGTCATATATGGGGCCATATTTTTTTTTTTTTTTGTCAGATAAAAGAGAAAACTAAATTAATAAAAGGAGATATTTACAAAATGCTCAACTTGCGGTACCCCTTCAGGATAGTCATTATATTCAAAGGAAGTTTGAGAGTGTTTTTGCCTTCTGGGATACCTTGTGAGCAGAGAGATTGAAAGTTCGGTTTATATGTTTAAACATTACATTAAACTGGGAAGAGGAAATTAAAAGCTTGGTTCTCTCTGCAAAAGTCATTGGCAGAGAACCAAGGAAGCATTGTATTCTTCTCCAGCGCCTGAGTAACGAGCAGATTGTCTGAACATAGGCAGATGTTCCTTTCATTCCAGTTTTAAAGTTCTAAAAAGTTCAGCATGATCAACGGCTGTAGGATAAGAAGTTCGTCCCCCAATTATTTTTAGGCATTGTACAAGATCACAATTCCAAAAGTAAAAGAGGAGTTAGAAATTCTACCTGCATCCA